CAAGGTGGCCGGGGACAGACACCGCTGCCTTAAAAAAAAAAAAAAAGGCATCAAGCTAAAAATATCCAAGAGTAGAAATGCTCTGCCTGGGGCAGGCTCAAGCCCTGAGCCCCGCTCCCAGACGGCGTTAAAATCCAAACCAGAAATAAAACGGCATTGGTTTTAAAACTCAAACCCCCAAATTCCTTATGGGTCCCCTCCGACCCCGGCAGGTGCCAGTGTGGTGAGCAAGCGTTGGCAGCGGGGAGCACAAGCAGCCCAGGGTGCTCACTTCTCCGAGCTCGGTCTCTTGAGCAGGGCGCTGTACTTGAGCGGGATGCCGTCCGACGTCAGCATGACCTCCACCAGCGTGAAAATGGTGATCACCTTCAGCAAGGGAGAGAAAGACGAAGAGGGTTTTGTAGGTGTCTTGGCATCAGACCAGGGTTTGCTTAGAGCCGCACTGGCTTTTGCTGCCTCTGCTGCAGCACCCGCAGGGAGTGGGGCAGGACGGCTTCAGATAGCTCTGCTGGGGTCCAGGGTGCCCTTGGGACTGGGGCTGGATGCAGTTATCTTCAAGGGCAACACCACTGGGCTGCGAAGCCAGCCAGGGAACCCAAACCGACCTAAACGAGCCTTTCTTGTTCTCCACACAGTCCAGGAAGGAGTGTGGGTGATCGTGTCCTCGGCTTTGGGTCCCAACCTCCCCTAAAGCCCGTCCATGCCTCCCTTCTCCAGCCAGAGAATGCACATCATCCCTTAATGAAGCAACTTGGCCAAGCGCCAATGATGAGCTGTGGTGAGAAGGGTTTTCCACATGACGCTGAGCATTTTCTCAGCATCCTGCAAGGAGGGAACGACACCCCCCCCCAGTGCCCCCACAGCAAGAGGAGACCCGGGAAGGGAGCATGATGGATAAGAGACACACAAGGGAATAAAGACCCCAGAAAATCATTCCCTCCTGTTCAGGAATGTGCCGCTGCCTGCTGCCACCTCCCTGGTCCCCTGACTCCACCTCTGCGTGCAATTGTGCGGATTAGAAGCGTAAAGCATCGACCAGGTCTATCCATGAGGCACGGTTAACGGGCTGGCTGGGACACCGGGAAGGGGCTGCCCCGGGGCCATGGCCAGGCATTCAGGGACTTTGCTTGCCAGAGCCCGTCCCCAAGCCCTGCGCTGCGGCAGGGCTCGATGGGGCCATCTGCTCAGGGCTGGCCCGCAGGAGGAGTGGGCACAGAGCCACCGGCGTAACCTTGTCAAACCCTTCCCAGCTCATCTAGCGCCAGCCACTCCAGATTAATCATTCAGAGCAGGAAAATCTCATTGAGACTTAAACGTATCAAAGTGGCCAGCGAGGAACAAACCTCAGGGAAATCCTTTTGCAGACGGCTGCCCAGATAGCTGCTGGCTACCTAGCAGCAACCCCCTGCCCGCCCCAGCTAGCAGGAGTGTGGTGAGTGGTGGCCATGGGGCAGCCCCCCCATGTCTGGGGGAGTCAAATGGGGATTATCAGGGTTCTCCCTTGCAATCCTGCCTCATCTCTTTGCTGAACCACCGGGGAACAGCACGATTTCACATCAAATCCCAGGAGTCTTAGATCCACTTCATACTCAAGCCTTGAGTAATGCCCACTGAGGTCCTGGCCATCTCCTGGAGCTCGGGGAGAGATGGGGGCAACACCTCCCCTCCGTGGCAGGGTCAGCCAGCCCAGACCCCTGCACACATTCCTGCAAACAGCCTTCCCCGATGTTCCCGCTGCCTGGCCAGGCTGAGCCAAACCGGCAAGCAGAAGCCAAGTGCTGAGGCTAAGCGGGGAGCTGGGGGTGCTCGGTGCCGCAGAGCGTCCGGGTGACATCTCCCACGGTTCGGCATGGCTCCCGGAGATCTGGCTCATCCCGGGGCTGGAGGTTTATCAACTCGGGGATCTGCTGGCTCGGAGGACAGCTCAGAGCCTGCTCCCAGGGGGGAGCTCTGGTGTTTTCTTAGGAGGTGTGGAGGGTTCGTGGAGGAGTTTCCTCTACCGCCGAATGTTTGCCTAACCAAAATGGGCCCTGCTCATGCTGGGGCGTCATTTTTCATGCAGGTCCCTGCTAGGGTGTAAGTGATACCCGCTCCTGTAGGAAAGGAGGAACCAAGGCCACTTCGGGCCACGTCCAGGGGGCTTCTCTGAGCCAAGCTGAGAAAGGAAAGCTCAGCTTCAAAGGGAGGGAGGCCTGCAGAAATGCCTGCAGCAGTCGGGGAGGTCAGCCAGCTCTGACCGCAACATCTCCCCTGGGAATGAAAGGACTCCCCAGGACATGCCTCAGACCAGCTGGGAGGGTCAGCCCAGTCCTGTATCGGGAGTCCTAGGTGAACAAGGATGGGTTGTGCTGGGCTTGGTTGGAAATGGAGTTCAAGCGTAGAGGTCCTGGAGCGGTGCAGGGAGAGGCTGGGATTCAGCCCTCCCGCCCCAGCTCGGACAGC